CAATGGAAGCTAAACATACAAAGAATTATTATCATGAAACATCTATAACCATCACAATCACAAAATTACATAGAACAATTAACAACAAAGTACTTAAAGAATATTACCTGCTAACAAATACCGGTTAAACACTTAATTTTCCACTTCTATATTTTTCACACTACACTGATCGTCTTGCTTTTCACTCCGCGCTGTTCTCACTTCAACTGCCTATCTTCAACTAACTATTTAGGCTTCCTTCCAGAATTTCCTACCTAAGTGCTTGTTTTTTGTGCTTCCTTCTATCGACCGTTAATATTACTTTTTCATTGTTATACAACACCCATGTAGCAGGTGACGTGGAAGTTGATAAGATAAGTACGGTTTTGCACAAACTGTATCCGGAAGAAATATAATTATTTATTTTAAATCCTTTCCATAAAACCTCAAAAAATTTTCACCCATATTGTCGCCTAGTGATATCGGTTTTAAAAACGCACTATTTCGAACTGGTTATCTATTTCTGTCTTGAGGTTATTTAATCTACCGGTTTCTTCTAATTGTTTCTTCATGTTATCTTTCATACCTTCTAGTTGAGCAGTCGATATCATTTTATGTCTTTTGACGCAAAAAGATAACGAAAACATTTTTTAATAAAAGTTGTTAAGAACTTTCAGATTATATAAAAATGTGTGAAATTGGAGAAAACAGTCGTCAGAATTTGTATCAACCTCTTTCCAAATAATAAATAATAATAGATTGATATTAGTCCAACCAAATTACACTTGGAGAAAAAAAAAATTGTGACCTGGACTTTTTTTTATAAGTGGAAATGGTACAAGGGCTTATAATAAACCTATAAAAAAAATAAATGCGTGGGCAGGGGCGGCGGATGGTTGATTTGGGGGGTTTAAAAGTTATGAAAAATTGTATCATTGGGATTTCTGGCGAAAGTTGACGTCAAACAAAAAAGTAACCAATACAAGAGTTGTAGATCATGCAAAAATCTACAACTTTTGCAGAGGTCACTTTATAACATAACCTCAAAATTTCCAAGAAAAATGCGAAAAACTGTTTTTTTTCAGATTTTTCGTTTTTTATTTCTCATTTCCGCAAAAATAATTTCATTTTGACGAAACTTGGTGAAAGTATACCTTTCTCTGTCCTAAATAACCCCACATTTTTTTAGATAAAAAAAATCAAGAAGTTTCTGAGATATTAATTTTTTCGGCCTGAAACCCTTTTTTTCAAAAAAATTTCTACTTAAAAAAATCATCGTACAGAGTTCTGCCGGTAATAATTTTTTTCGTTTCGACATATACTTTTTGGTGAAATAAAAATATTTGTAATAACATTTCAAAAATGCAAAAAAAATAAAAAATGACTAGCAACAATGAATTTTTCAGTTATTGTTGATAATTTGTTTAAATTAAAAAACATTCAAAAACTGATTACACCATTCAATTCTACGGAAAAAAATAAAAAAAAAAATATGTCATTGTTTGACCCAAAACTTTATTTTTGTACAGTATTGCTATCTAAGTCGAATTACAAATGCACAAATGATAAATTATCTCAGGATGATTTAAGATTTCAGTAATATAAAGTATTAACTGCAATGTCTACTGTTGACTCGAAATCCGAAAACCCGAAATTTTGCAAAATCGTTTAATTTTTTTCTTGTTTTATTTGAAAACGAATTTTAAATAAATTGCATATTTACATTGCCACTTTTTTCGCTCTATCCAATGTCGTCAACTGTTTTGCAATCCCACGTTTCGTCTTCGACGGGCCATCATCAGATTAATTTTTATAAATAGGTATATCGCTGTTATTTTTATGAGAAAATCTGGTCACTTTTAATTCTGTATTAGATGATCTTACTATTGTAATCGTAATCATTAAAAATTTTTCCTGAGTACGGCTCTGAACGCTTTCAAAATACCTGTATCTATTGGAGGGAAGAGAGACAGAGAGAGGGAGGGAGAGAGAGAGAGAGAGAATAAAGGTCAATACAGCACAAAATATCCAACTATTTTTTTAATCCATAATTTAAAAAGTTGTACCTAATAAAAAAATAATACGAATTTATGAAATATTTTATTANAAATAACCCCACATTTTTTTAGATAAAAAAAATCAAGAAGTTTCTGAGATATTAATTTTTTTCGGCCTGAAACCCTTTTTTCCAAAAAAATTTCTACTTAAAAAAATCATCGTACAGAGTTCTGCCGGTAATAATTTTTTTCGTTTCGACATATACTTTTTGGTGAAATAAAAATATTTGTAATAACATTTCAAAAATGCAAAAAAATAAAAAATTACTAGCAACAATGAATTTTTCAGTTATTGTTGATAATTTGTTTAAATTAAAAAACATTCAAAAACTGATTACACCATTCAATTCTACGGAAAAAAATAAAAAAAAATATGTCATTGTTTGACCCAAAACTTTATTTTTGTACAGTATTGCTATCTAAGTCGAATTACAAATGCACAAATGATAAATTATCTCTGGATGATTTAAGATTTCAGTAATATAAAGTATTAACTGCAATGTCTACTGTTGACTCGAAATCCGAAAACCCGAAATTTTGCAAAATCGTTTTATTTTTTTCTTGTTTTATTTGAAAACGAATTTTAAATAAATTGCATATTTACATTGCCACTTTTTTCGCTCTATCCAATGGCGTCAACTGTTTTGCAATCCCACGTTTCGTCTTCGACGGGCCATCATCAGATTAATTTTTTTAAATAGGTATATCGCTGTTATTTTTATGACAAAATCTGGTCATTTTTAATTCTGTATGATGATCTTACTATTGTAATCGTAATCATTAAAAAATTTTCCTGAGTACGGCTCTGAACGCTTTCAAAATACCTGTATCTATTGGAGGGGAGAGAGACAGAGAGAGGGAGGGAGGGAGAGAGAGAGAGAGAGAGGAGAGAATAAAGGTCAATACAACACAAAATATCCAACTATTTTTTTAATCCATAATTTAAAAAGTTGTACCTAATAAAAAAATAATACGAATTTATGAAATATTTTATTATTTCTAATTAGTATTGCTAACAGTAGTAAAAAATTGTTGTATATTTTGTGCGGTATTGACTTTTATACTGTTATGAGTTTATCCAATAGATATTTTGAAAGCATTCAGAGCTGTACTCAGGAAAAATTTAAATTATAGGTAAAACAAGCTAAATACTTTTTAAGCGATTACAATAGTAGTATCCTCTAATTCAAAATCAAAAATGACTAGATTTTGCCATAACAATAGCAGCGACGTATTTTAAAAAATTAACCCGATGATGACCCCTCAAAGACGAAACGTCGGATTGCAAAAATGTTGACGCCATGGTATAGAGAGAAAAAAAAGGCATTGTAAATTTGTAATTTATTTTAAAATTCGTTTTCACATAAAGCCAGAAAAAATTAAACAATTTAGCAAAATTTCGGGTTTTCCGGATATCTCCGGAACTACCCGGAATTTTAAAACTTTCTAAACAGCATATTGTTAGGTCTAAAAAAAAAACAACTTTTTTTCTAATCTGAGCCACCTCGTATCTTTTACAGTTTCCTAGATCCTAATGCTATGCCATCCTTATCTTGAACACACTGTATATCTATGAATTCATCAAACTTCCTACGGAAAAAAAAATATTAATTTTATTTATTCACTATTCGACNAACAACTTTTTTTCTAATCTGAGCCACCTCGTATCTTTTACAGTTTCCTAGATCCTAATGCTATGCCATCCTTATCTTGAACACACTGTATATCTATGAATTCATCAAACTTCCTACGGAAAAAAAAATATTAATTTTATTTATTCACTATTCGACTTCTGTTTATAGCAATACTGTATAAAAATAGTTTTGGGTCAAACAATGAGACAGTTTTTTTATTTTTTTTCCGTAGAATCGAATGGTGTAATCAGTATTTTAATGTTTTTTAATTTAAACAAATTATCAACAATAACTGAAAAATTCATTGTTGCAAGTTATTATTTATTTTTTTGCATTTTTGAGCATGTTTTTGAAATGTTTTGACAGATATTTTTATTTCACCAAAAAGTATATGTCAAAACGAAAACAATGATTACCGGCAGAATTCTGTACGATGATTTTTTAAAATTTAAATTTTTCTTTGAAAAAAAAGTGTTTCAGGCCGAAAAAAATGAAAATCTCAGAAACTTCTTGATTTTTTTATTTAAAAAAAATTGAGGTAATTTAAGACAGAGAAAGGTATACTTTCACCAAGTTTCGTCAAAAAGAAATTATTTTTACGGAAATGAGAAATAAAAAACGAAAAATCAGAAAAAAAACTGTTTTTCGCATTTTTCTCGGAAATTTTGAGGTTATGTTAAAAAGTGACCTCTAAGTTGTAGATTTTTGCATGATCTACAACTTTTGTATTGGATACTTGTTTGTTTGACGTCAACTTTCGCCAGAAATCCCAATGATACAATTTTTCATAACTTTTCAACACCCCAAATCAACCCTCTGCCGCCCCTGCTCACGCATTTATTTTGTTTCGTTTATCATAAGCCCCTTTACCATTTCCACGTATAAAAGTCCAGGTAACAATTTTCTTTTTTGTTTTCCTCTAAATGAGTTATTTTGATCGGTCTATATGTCCATCTCCTTCAGAATGAGACCACCCGAAGCAAATTTGAAGTTGCAGAAATACAACATTGCGTGTGGATGTTCCTATAAAGTGATGTTTAATTGTTAAAAAAACTTAAAACCTCCGCCACATTGTTTTAAATATTATTAACGGACACTAGTTAAATATAAGTTCTACGTCACGTAGTTTTTTTATCTTTAATTTACAAACATGTTGCTATGTTAAATGGAATTAAATATTTGATTAATGTCGCCTTTGCTTTAGTTAAAATATAGTTACTCCAATGCATACAGATTATGTGTCGGAAAATTTAATTTTCATATATTAGCAGTGCAATTCTGTTTATGTTCAGTGGTTTAACTCGTTGATCAAATAATAATTACGAGTACATACTAATGAAATATAAATATTCTCTTTATTAGAAAATTAATTCACAAATAGTGTACATAAATTGGCTAATAATTGGTTACGCTTTTTATCCAGTTTCTGTAGTTGGCGACTTTCGTATAGACACCAGGGTAGTGTGGTCTCGCGCAGCCGAAGCCCCATGAAACGACTCCCATCAGCTTTCCATTAGCCCTTAGAGGTCCCCCAGAGTCCCCCTGAAATGCATATGTATTCACATAACATTCTTACCATTTTTTTAGCTACTACTAGGAAATATGATGATAACAAAGAAATACATAAAAAACAACTCAATGTTACATTTCGGAGTTATAAACCAAACATCGTCGTTTTTTAATGAAGCATCCAGTATATCTGTCGCTTTATTGGAATCCTCTCTTTTCTCTGACTACAACGATATAGAGAGTGGTACAACTTATAAGGTCAAACCAATAATCACAAGATTACTTGATCGAAAATAGTGGGGCTTTCATTATGTCGTTTTTAATTTCAACGTCCACATTGACCCAGCCTCTGTTGCTTAAACTTTCCTGATTATTTTTTTAAAACTTAATAAAACCTCTTTGGATATGTTTCTGTATAACGCCTAGTTTCTAAACTAGCATTCGAGTCACGTTTTCCCATAAGTTAAGACAGAACGTATGTGTTCCATATTTTTTAGGAGTTGAACCTCGAATGCTTCTAAAGAGGTTGGGTGTTGAGCTAAGTTAACAAACTGAATTTTGAACAGGACTTTTTAAAAATTGTAAATTATTTGTGATAATTTTAGTACTGATTACGAATTAAGTGCCGAGTAGTGTTACCCCCACTCCGCCGCCCGCTACAGTTAGCTCGCGCGCGCTCGAATGCTTCGGTTTGACGCACAATTAAAAATGCAGAAGTGGCTAAAATGAACCACTGTATTTTTTTACTGAAAATATAAGTCTTCAACTTCAGTCTTTGTAAGAATGGACGCTGTAGCACTTAAATAACGGCCTGTGGAATTTAAAAAAAAATTATCTCGGCTCCAGAAGGTTGCAGAGCAACGTCTTTTTTTTTAATTTGCGTAAAAATGCCAGCAATCGATTCCTGTAATAGACATCGAGAAATTAAAATCGAAAAAGATGTTCAAGAGAAACGCGAGCAAAAAATGTTTACTTTTTCAAAGTCATCTTTGGACACTTGAAATGAATAAAATCTTTACCACTCTTTGTTACCATGAAAATACAACTCTAAAGGAAAAAATATGAGTCCTGACTCGTTTCTCTACGACTATTCGTCGAGCAAGAAGAGCCGATTTTCGAGATAACCTTTTTTTCTAAACTAAATTTTTAATATTTTTTAATTAAAAAAGGTACTTTTTTGCTTGCCGAGGGCTACATTTACAGCAAGTAACAAGTTTCAAAAACTGCATTTGCAGAAGTTACAGCAAAAACAAAAAAAGTCGATTTTTGACGGTTTTTTCAATATATCTCGAAAAGTAATATGTATAGCAATCAATATATTTAAAAATACGAATCGATAGGTTTTTTTTGTAGCTACAACTTTCTCGTTTAACTTTTTCGATTGGAGTTCAAGTTTTTTTTATTAACGAAAAACCGTTTTTTGACTTTTATGAATTTTTTAGGTTAACTTCGCCGTTTATGCGCCACAGGAAAAAACACTATTTTTCTTAGAATTTTTTTTTCTATATCACCATATTTTTCGTTTCCAGGTGGTATTTTTTGTAAATTTAACATAAGACCGTGACAGATTGATTGAACTATATACAAAGCTCCCAATCTGGGGCTCATATTTCCGGACAACGAAACACCAACGTTATTGAAAATTGACAATAACAAGCGGATATCTGTAGTACTGACTATTGCCTCTAAGTTCGTAATTTTAAATTTGGGTCGTACGTTACACACCCTGGCCAGATATATGCCCATGGTTATATAACTCCAATTGGCCAAAGTCGACGTTCGATCGTCTGTATAATAGGAACGTTTCAAAATCTGACGGCACGATGTCGGCTCTCGGAAACTTGGCGCTTGCAAAAGTTTGTATAGTGATGAACAAATCTTAAGTGGATTAGGTTGTAGAGATTTAATAACCTCAGTTGAACTTGTTTTTTCATTGTGAACATTCAAAATCTTTTATCTACATCAGCCTATAGATTTAAGAGTTCGTAGAAGCGGTAAGACTATGAAAAAATAACTTAATAAAAAAATCGACTGTTCAAAGTTTACCTGACAAGCATCTTTTCCTCCAGTTTGAATGAATCCAGCGCAGATCATGTTGTTGGAAATATCCCCGAATTTAGCGTATGCATTTTGGCAGTCACTGGGTGAAACGATGGGTAGTTCGACCTGTTTCAAATCTGAGGGTATAAAGCCGTTTTCCTAAAAAATATAATTTGTTGTCAAGTGATAATAATTCGAATACATATTGTGTTTATTCAAAAGTCAGTTATTACTATATCGTCAAAATGTTAAGATGCGTTCTTTAATTTAGTTTCAACGCTTTTCATTGTGCTTTTCTTACGTTTGTTTTTTGTTTATTCTCCTAGTTATTCAGCTACTGTCTAATGTAGTATTTCAACAATCGTTGAGAAACTCTCTCAAATAAATCACTCTCTTCACATGTATTTTCGATGATACATGTTGCCTCATTTTTTCTGCGTGTTACTTCATACCATTTATTCAAATAGAACATTTGGTGTAGTTTGATTTTGAAATTTCATTATTCTGTGGTATCTATTACTTTTTTTAAACAAAAAAAAAATATATCTTCATTATGTTTAGTCTGGAGGTAGGTATTTGATATTCACCACGATGTTGCAATCGTCATTTTAATAGACTAATATTTGTTTATCTATTAAAAACAATTGGAACCCTTTTATGAGTCAGTAACAGAAATATGTATTGTATTAAATTCTACGTACATATCGCTCACTTCGCATTTGTTGACTTTTGATTTATTTTGAATTAATTATGTTATATCTTATCAAGACTGCACTTCATTATTTAGAAGTGGTGATGGTATCTGGACCCTTTTTTTATTTATGTGAACAAATAACATGTCTCGTTATATTTTTGGATATCATCTAGGTTTTCTAATTAATTTAATCGAAAAACTTATTTCTTTTTAACTTTAATATTATTAACAATTAACTATAAAAAACTTTTCACTTAATTTTCTTCAACCTCTGGCTATAATTTTGCAATTCTGTCTGCAGAAACGTCTAGGGTCTGTTCAGAAGATAATCGAACTTAATCGAATTAAGTGCTATTGGAGATATTTAATGATATGCGGTTGGCAACATTGCGTTGCGTATTAAGTGTTAGTGATGATTTTTGAAACATGCAATTTTCTAGAATAACGTTTTAACCCAACAACACGAATATACTTTCCCAAAGTTTTGGTGCCCTGAAATCGAATCCGAGGTTCAAATTTTTTAATTGGCTCTGGTTTTCGAGATATCCTAACCTAAAAGTGCCAAAATCGCACATAACCATAAGCCTTACGGGTTTATGGGTTTCTGGTTTTTGGGCTTAAGGTTTATGAGTTCCGGATTGAGCGAATTAGCCTTGTAACGAAATTTTTATTAATTTTATTCACATTTTACTGCTATATGGGGTGTTTTCTTTTTATTTTTGCTGTAAATTTAGATATTCACGATACGATCTGGTTGTTTTCGAATTATCTTTTGTGTAAATTTATTTAGTAAATTCTTGTTAACAATTTCGATATGTACGTATTTTTTTAAATATTTGAAAGATTTTGAATTAATTATTGCACAGATTCTCAAATACTGTAGAGTTTTTTTCTCTCGTTAGTATAAATTCAGTTAACTTTTCACTATCCTTAATTTAGATTTCATCGTACTAATTATAACAATAGTATTAAAATAATTAACTTTAACTTTAATTGTAAATATTAAATTTAAGGAATTTTATATTACATTTTCTCATACTCACCGACAACCAGACTGAGTATTCTCTAACACTCAGCCGTTGTAAATATCCTACTTGCTTATATTTTTATTCTCTGTTTTTCAAAATTGCAACAAATCCACGGATCTTCTGACTAAGACAACATATTATTGGATCCAGGGCTTCTAACCATCACCATCTTTGGGAGGAGGTTGTCATGGAGTCTGTCACTCGATAACCAACTGGCCATCTCCATCTGACAGATGAACATAACGTCAACACCCCCTTAGATTCCGGACAAACTAACCAGAGTGAGACCCATCCAATCTACCCAAATCTTGTCAGAAGTGATCACCACACCATTATTGTTGCTTTTTAAACTTATGGTCAAGTAGAGATATCGAATCGAAAGTCAATCTGTTGTGTCATCTGTTGTCGGATATTTTAAAATTAAACCTGATTGTAATTTGATAAAAATTGCTATTATATGGAAAATTTAACAATTCACTAACTTTACATTGTATTAAATCGATTTTAAGAATATTTTGTTTAAATCTTGTTCCTTCCTCATAGTTTAAGAATATACAAGGTGTAACTGAAATAAGTATTCAAAATTTCTGAGCTTGTAAAACAAGTCGAAAAATGACGAAAACTTTAGTACAATTTTTGTCACTGGCGGCTCCTAAGGGAGCTACGCTCTCCTAAAGGGGTAACCTCGGAAACAGTTTTTAATGAGTAACATCCAAACGGCTCGACATTAAGTCACGAAATTTTGGTGAGATATTAACCTTGATGTGCTTAATAAGTTTCCTAAAATACATTTCAAAATTTGCTACAGGGGCGTGAGAAAATGCAGGACCCAGTGACAAATTTAATCATATCTTTTTTGTAGTCAATTTTTTCTAGTTCCTGACTCGAAAACATTGGAATTTGAAGTACTTAACATAAAAAAGGTCCTCTTGTTAAATTTCACTAGGATGTGCCGTTTTCCAGTAAAATCGATTTCAATCATTCCCAACGTGCTCCAAATTCAACTTTCATTACATAGCAAAATAAATTAATTGCAGTGTGCCATGGGGAAAACAACTAGTCTGACAGTTAACAGAAATGTCAAGTATTTTTAGTTTCAAATTTGTGTCATTTGAGTATTCGCAGTGCCGTTTTATAGTAAATAAAAATATCAAATAATTTAAAAATGCAACAGTATACATTTTCTGAGTATGTAGATATGCTTTTGACGTTTTGTGAATGTCATGGAAGCGCAAGAGCAGCCGCACAACGATACGGTGAAAAGTTCCCCAACAGAAATGTGCCCAATTACAAAACATTTCTTTGCACAGAAAGGCGTTTGCGAGAACGGGGTACGTTAAAAAGGAACAATTTTGAGAGAGGCAGGCGTAGAATAATTAGAAATGTCCTGAATGAGGAAAATATTTTAAATTTAGTTGAAGCTAACGCCACTCTTAGTACAAGACGACTATCAGTTCAAAATAACATGTCTCATATGACAGTATGGAGGATGAGAGAACAACAATTGTATCCCTATCATTATAGACAGGCCCAAGACATTTTACCACATGACAGGCCCATGCGCAGATAGTTTTGTCAGTTGGTTTTAGACAGGCAAGCCGAAGATCCGATGTTTCTATCGAATATTATTTTTACCGATGAAGCTACCTTTACCAGAAGCGGTGTTTTTAATATGCGCAATGAACATATGTGGGCCGAAGAAAATCCTAATGCTCGGAAGGTAACCCATTATCAGCATTCATTTAAAATAAATGTTTGGGCTGCCACATTAGGAAATAATCTATTTGGATATCACATCATGCCTGGAAATTTAACCGGAGCAATGTACCATCAATTTTTGTCTACTAGATTGTATGAATTTTTAGAGGATATTCCTTTGGTAAGACGAGGTTCCTTATGGTACATGCATGACGGCGCCCCTCCTCACTTCAACCGTCAATGTCGACAGTGGTTAAACGAGCACTTCCCAAATCGCTGGATTGGCCGAGGAAATGATGCTGCCATAAATTGGCCTCCACGGTCACCAGACCTCAACCCAATGGATTTTAACGTGTGGGGTCAAATGAAACAAAAAGTGTATTTCCAAGCTGTTGACAATGAGGAACAGTTGCGTCAGCGTATAGAAAATGCATTTAATGAACTCAATGTGGAGCACAAACTATACCGGAACCTATTTTCTTTGGAAAACAGGTTACGTGCGTGCATTAGGGCAAACGGCGGACATTTTGAAAGTTGAATCTAGTCTGTCTTCTTGACTAGGGCACATTTTCTGCTAAAGAAATTAAGATATTTGGTTAATTTGTTAAACTAAACTAAATGGTTTAAATCTGTTAAAATGTTACGTAAAAGTTTCAGCCGCTTACAATAGTTTAATAAATAATCTCATATGTATCTATTTTTTAGCTTTTATTTATATCACCATATTTTTATTTGTTACTATTAAGAGTGTTAAAAATATTTGACATTTCTGTTAACTGTCAGACTAGTTGTTTTCCCCATGGCACACTGCAATTAATTTATTTTGCTATGTAATGAAAGTTGAATTTGGAGCACGTTGGGAATGATTGAAATCGATTTTACTGGAAAACGGCACATCCTAGTGAAATTTAACAAGAGGACCTTTTTTATGTTAAATACTTCAAATTTCAATATTTTCGAGTCAGGAACTAGAAAAAATTGACTACAAAAAAGATATGATTAAATTTGTCCCTGGGTCCTGCATTTTCTCACGCCCCTGTAGCAAATTTTGAAATGTATTTTATGAGACTTATTAAGCACGTCAAGGTTAATATCTCACCAAAATTTCGTGACTTAATGTCGAGCCGTTTGGATGTTACGCATTAAAAACTGTTTCCGAGGTTACCCCTTTAGGAGAGCGTAGCTCCCTTAGGAGCCGCCACTGGCAAAATTTGTACTAAAGTTTTCGTCATTTTTCGACTTGTTTTACAAGCTCAGAAATTTTGAATACTTATTTCAGTTACACCTTGTATACACATTCATAACTTTGTACTACACCCCACGAGCTTGTGATCTCACTGCACCCTACTGTAGCTTAGCTGGATGCATCTTTTTAAGTGTACTTGGGTTTTGTAACCAATTATCCCAAGGAGTTATAGTCCATGTGGACAAATAATAAATAACGTTACAGCCTCTTCGCCTGTAAATGTATTTCCAAATTGATATAATGCGTAAAATATCGGCCATATATCGAGTTTTTGACATTTTTAAAGTTTGTTGCAAAATTTGACGTGATAGAGTATTTTGAAATTCAGATTCAACTCCTACTAACACTAACTACTCCCAAAAACACGCAAGACCCCTACTTCCGAGTGCCGGTGAATTTAGGTTTGTGGTGCAACACAGTCAGTATATTCAAAAATTGAGAAATAAGTCAAACTACTAAATTTTAACATGCGATTTTTCAAAGACGAAAAATGATGTCGGGATAAATCCAAGCGCGTTTTAAAGAGTAAGTAGTACTTTAAGACCCCATTAATGGTTTTAGCAGAAATTTACCTATCCATGTAATATAACCTCAAATATGTCAAAATATCACGATTTTGGCACTTTTAGGAGAGAATATCTTGAAAATCAGAGCCAATTGAGAAATGTGGACCTCGGATTCGAATTTAGCGTATCAAAATCCTTCGAAAAATTACATTCTGGTTTCTGGGTTATAGTGTCAGCCATTTTTTCTTATTTCCGAAATTATAATCTGTGCTGAAAGGCTCAGATTTTAGACATCATAGCAGTTTGATTTTAGACTTTAAAGTACATTTCAAATGGAGCTATCCAGGACTGCCTTGCGAAATGGAAACACCGATATTGTATAAAGTTAATAACAAAGTTTAAAAAATAAATATCGGTTATTTTCTGAAGAGACGTCGTATAGGTATTCAATTATACTTTCTAAATACGCTGCTGCGTCGAAACAAAAGACATCAGAGAACTTTTAATAGCTCCACACTCGGTAGGTTTCTGTTTAGTTATATCAATGGAAGTAGTTGTAGGAGTGCCCAGTGTAACGTAGAATTGTTATTTTAATTGTGTTTTACTTACCGCTTCGTAACCCCATCCTGAAACAAGAGCTCGCGAACCCACCGCAAGGCCCTCTCCAGCCTCTGGCAACGCTACCGGTAGGATTTTGTCCGAAAATACCAAAGGACTGCAGAGCTAAAAAACATTATATTTTTTGTTAAATAATGCTCATTAAACGTAATTTGTTTTGATTTCTTTTGGTAAAAATACACTACTGGAAAAAATTAAGGAACAAAAAATTTTCATGAACATTTTAGTGATTTTCGAGGGGGTGTATCTCAGAGAAAAATGGTCGTATGGTGATAATAAAAAGAGAATTTTGAAGCTTTGTCTCTTGTATCAACATCTTTACACAAAAAAAATTTTTACGTACGGTTATCGAACAATTAAAAGAAATAGGTACGTAGAGAAAAAAAATTCCAAAAAAATAATTTTCTTTTAGGACTGTCCAGGGATTCTGGACAGTTTTTTCAGACTCAATCAATACAAAAGTCAGTAAGCTCATATTCAGCTTCAATTTGATTTTTGAAAGATCTCCGTGCGAGTATGGATTGGCCAGATATCGATGGTTGAGTGAAAAATAACACTTTTGTCCTTAATCCTCGATATCACTGCAAGAAATTATTGCACAGTAAATCCAAGGGCAGTTTTGAGAGTATGAATAAATTCTCTTCATGGACCTGTAATGGTTTTCGAAGAAAAATGTTTTTTCATTCTTGACATTAATTTGAAAAAACTACAAAACATGGCTTCATATAGTTTGTTAGAAAATAATAATAATAATATAATAAATGATTTTATTTGCAATTGCATATAATAATTGAACACAAGATTATAAACAAAAAAAAAAATACAAGTAATACAAATTGCAAAATGGCAGAGTTCATGTTAAACCTGCTCTTCCACTCGACCAAATAATATTTATAATATAAAACTAACAAGTAGAAATAAATTAAGACAAACATATTTAAGATAAGTACAAAAAATTACAATTTAAAAAATAATTATAAAGACTGTAATACCCCTGGTACAAAAAATGTATATTATATATTATAGTACTAAGAAATATATATCGGATAACATATTTTGTTTAATCTTTCAAAGTAATGAGGGATTAAATTGTAAGTAATATTTGGTAATTTGATAAATGAAGCAGTTCTGAAATAAAAATGTTAAATGAGTTGGTATAGATAACGTATTCTTAAATCTTATATTCAAATTGTGAATGTATGTTCTGTAAGTAATTTTATCGTAGATATGGTGGAGGTCTGGAGTTTTGAAACATATAATTTTATGAAACAGGCCACAGCTATGTAGTAACTGTCTCTGTTCAATTTTCAACCAGCCAATTTCCTCAATTCTAGGTGAAATATGCTCACGCCTTTTAACATTACATATTAATCTTTCACACGAATTTTGTATTTTTTGTAAACGCATCTTGTCATATTTCCTTAAAAAGGGATTATAAACCACGTCACAATAAGCCAAATGGGACAATACCAATGCATCATACAAGGCAATTCTATTCTCTTTACTTTACTTTAAGTATTTCTCTATTTACAAATATTAATTTAGAATTACCAGAAGATCGTTTAATGATAGTTTGATGATATTTACTTGTCCGGTGAATTTTAACGGAGTATCATTGACAACTAATTATTGGTGAAGCCTAGATTTTTAGCAATTTCTGTTGATTGCAATTGATCACCGCATAGTTTAACATTGACACTATTTTTAAGTCGCGCTCTAGCAGAACGTGAGCCAAATAACATAAGTTTGGATTAAGAAGGATTAATAGAGAGGCAAAATTTGTTAGAAACATTTAAAAGGGAATTTAAGTCATCCGTAATTCTTTGATTAGCTAATTGTATGTCAGATTCTGCAAAAGAATAATACAACTGAGTCATGGTCAGCATAAAAGTGTGATTTACAATAAGATATAACATTTACAAATTGAGAAGTACAAATCGTAAAGAACAGAGGACCTAAAATGGATCCTGAGGCACACCATAGTTTACCATTTGATAACTAGAAAAGTGATTATTGTACACTAGGCCATGTGTTCTATTCTCAATCAAAGAAAATGGTTCATTGCCAAAGCCAATATAATGCGATACTGACAGAAGTAGGCGATGATTAATTCTATCAAATGCCTTGCTATAATCCAATAAAACCAGAGCAGCTGTAAAAATTTCTCTCAACATTAGCGTTTTCATAAATATTTGTAAATTAGCGGTAGGTTTTTTAAAGAACTTTAAAAAGTAATTTTTTGCGCTCTTTCAAATCGATGTTAAGGGTGAAAAAAATTTTTTTTTTCGAGAACTATGTCCTTGTAGAAAATTTATTCAAGTTTTCAAAACTGCCCTTGGATTTACGTGTAATAATTTCTTGCAGATATCGATGATTTCAAAAATCAAATTCAAGCTGAATGTATGAGCTAACTGACCCCTCTATTGATTCACAATCAGTTCGAACAAAATTTCCAGTGTTCGTTATTTTTTCTCGATCTATTTCCTTTGATTGTTTAATAACTGTAGCTCAAAAGAAATTTTTGTCTCAAGATCTGGAAACTAAATACTTAACGCTTCAAAATTTTTATTACATACCTCAATATTACCATTTTTCACTGAGACAGCCTTTCGAAAATCGATAAATATTCATGAAAATTATTTGTTCTTTGAATTTTTCCCCGTAGTGTACTTTTTTTTATAAATAACAAGCAACTACGAGGAAATGTCATTGAAAACATAATAGAGTGTTTGCCACCTTTTCAGAAATTAACAGCAAATTAAATAGTGTAATAAAAAACATAACCCGTATTTATATTATTATCTAATTGTCAATTTAAAAAAATACAAAACTAAAACGAATTTGGCTAACCGTTGGCGTTAATGCGCCATCTATTAAGGGGAATTAAGGGGAATAAAACTCTTCCTAGCTGCATTATAAACCACTTTGTAGTTACCATCTACAAGATTCCTCAAAAAAAAAGACGCAAACAATTTCTACAACCACTACGAGTATAATACACTTTAATAACTATTATTATTTAACCACATTCCCTCATATATGAGTATTATACATTACACTAACCTACCTTCAATATTGCAATATCATTGTCCAGAGTATCAAAATTATAATCTTCTTTGGCTATGATCTGACAGACTTTGACCTTCTTTCCTCCTGTGCTGACAAAGCTACTGCCGGCTCTTATGGAATATTGGGAAGCAACTCCACTAAAGATAACGATAATAAAATACATGGAAGAGACTATTCGTTAGAAATGAAAAATTAAATAAACTAAATGTTAAATTAATTGATAATCATAATGAATTAATTTTTTGTATGTATATTGCATTAGAGATGACTACAACAAAAAAAATTACAAAAATTAGAAGTATATGCAGCTTCAAAATTGTAGTAGATTTTGTTCAAGAATGTATTATCTATATCTTGCAAAAAAGAAAGAAAAACTGTCAAAATTAAATAATTATTGATTGAGTGACTGAGCCTCTCAAAAAATCTGAAATTTATGTAGGTTATTTCAAGTTTATATAATAGTTCAATAATTTTATCAATTTATATTCAAAAATTTAATTTAAATAATTAATAAATATTGTTTCTTTAATTGCTTATTATTGTACATTACATTTTCGGATAATTTTGTTGTTCTTATTTTTTTAGTACTGTTTACTTTGGAACGCACCTTATTCCGAGTCTGCTTTTTGTATTTCTTTGACTGCATTCTCATTTTCTTGCTGTGTTATTGCTTAGTAGATATACAGGTTCGAAAAGTCCCCATGGTTCATCGTGAGAGCGATAAAGAAAGTCATAGAAATCCGTGCGATAGAGAAGGATGGCTATAATGAAGGCGTCTCATAGTTTCATCCTTCCACAAATAAGATTCACTTCCACTTGTAATTCAGCGACCGGTGGTAATCTTTGTTTTCGTTGTTTGCCTTTTCTTTAATAGATGTCACTACTTATACAATTCCACTCCCGTATTCCGATATGTTAATACAATCCGTTAACAGAGGGCAGCACAATTTCTCTAAGGTGAGATTTTTTTTGGAATTGGGGAAATAGGGAATTTTACTTTATTTCTTGGGATTTTTAAGTCATTTTAAAAAGTATACTTAAGTAACAACTAAATGAACTTTAAATGCAGCTGAGCACTATACTCCATTTGAATAACTTCTCAGTAGGAGAAACAAGGTCACTAGATTTACAGACAGAGGTATCTACTAGCTACTGTAAAAAGTTTTCTTTGTTACGCTTTGTGCTGCCTTCTGTTAACGGATTGTATTAACATATCGGAATACCGAAGTTGGAATTGTATAAGTAATGACATCTATTACAGAAAAGGCAAACGACGAAAACAAAGATGACCACCGGTCGCTGAATTACAAGTGGAAGTGGATCTTATTTGTGGAAGGGCGAAACGGGCGGTAACTATGAGACGCCTTCATTATAGCCATCCTTCTCTATCGCACGGAATTCTATGACTTACTTTATCGCTCTCACGTAACGGCCGATGAACCATGGGGACTTTCCGAACCTGTATAGTCCAGCCGGTAGAGCATTCGAGGCGTTTGTATTTGAGGTAATATATTTTGTAGTACAGAAAAATCCCAAATATTATGCTAAATTCAGAGGAACAACGAACATACAAAACCCGTTTTTCGAAATATTTTTACCTGTAACATTGAAAGTAAGCCCTAAAATGAAAAAAGTAACAGTTGAATGCAGTCGTATTTAGTTAAAAATCAAGGGGTTACGACGATACCCTGGGCAATAAATAAATTGTTTATAGAGGAAAATATTGAAAAATGAAAATAGAATTGACATATTATGTTTTACTATTTTTCACAAAGTTTCATCAATATTTATAAATATTTACTTATTTTAAATATTGCCTCAAATATATATATGATTTTCTACTATTTTTCGCCCATGCAAAATTTACCTTTTTTGATTAGCAGTGTTATAACTTATAGAAAATCGCCAAATAAACAAAAAGTAAAGAATGACTTTTTTATTTAGGGCTTACTTTCATATGTTACAGGGAAAAATATTTCGAAAACAGGTCATTTTTCGTTCTTTTTTTGTTTGTTGTTCCCCTGAATTTAGCAGTGATTTTCTGGAATAAGCAAACCCGGATTCTTATTCTACATAATATTTGGGATTTTTCTGCATAACAAATGGAAAACACAAACGCCAAAGTCAACTTTTACTGCTCTATCACCTGTCATTACAGTCGACCAGTTTTTCAGTGACGTACAGAGTAGTGGAGTGGTTTTTTTAAAAACTGGTTGCAAGTTCTGAACGACCCTGTTCTCGCTTTTGTGTCATTAAAATGACACCATATAAATCATGCAAAGATTAATGTTTACCGATGTCATAAATAATAAAACTACACTGAAATATATGAGTGGTATAAATGTATTTACGACAATCGAAGCATATTCTAGAAACATGTAAGTTTATTACATAATTACTTATGTGTCTGAAAGTTTCTATATACTCTACAATATGTAATTTTCGACTGACTTGTTCGTCTTTTAATGCATGCACTCGTAAATACCACGTTGTCTTGTTAGAGCTCTCCTGTCTATGTTTATCAAAGAACGTACATGCTTCATGAAATATAATATACTACTGTACAAGTCGTATATGTAACTTGTAAGAGGATATGAACATAAATATGAAAACAAATAGTGAATCTGTATCTATGTATAAAACAGCTATGCTTAGGTATATAGGGTGTTCCAAAACTTACGCAAGATTTGAATTCGGTGTTGCCAACGAAAAAAGAAAGACAGCGTGACGGTTCAGGGTTATTAAAAATGGAGCGCTACACGAAAAAACAACGCGTTTTCATTGTTGGACAATATTTTTAAAATAATGAAGGTTTGCTAGAGTTCGTAAATTTCGAGCAATTTAGAATTAGTTTACTCATCCAAAAAATGTAGAAGTGTTTTTCTTACTAGTTCTTTACGTTCGTTCTATGGGGTGCTGAGGTTTGCCACCTCGCCAGGCGACTGCTTCACAACGAAACTCAAAATTTAGCACTTTTTCAGTTTTTTGACTATAACTCGAAAACTAAGCGTTTTTCAATCATATACAAAATAAAAGTTGACAAGAATATTGAACGACTATTCGCAATACGTGGTTGACGGTGGTTTTCTCCTGCACAAAGTTGTGTGGCCCGAAAAGAAGACATTTGGTCAAATTTGTGACAGCTACGTTGAATATTTCCAAAAAAATATACGGCAACTGTAGTAGTAGTCTTCGACGGCTACTACCATGCACAGAAATTAACTAAAATGGAGCGCATGAGAGGATCCAATACGCAGTCAGTTGATATCCAAGTTAATGACAAAATGGTGCCCACAGTCCCCCAGGAGAAGTTTCTGTCTAATACCTGCAAGAAAAGCAGATTCATTAGCATGTTTCTACAGAAATTTAGGGCAGCCCAAATTGACACGAAGCAAGCAAGTGAAGATGCAGAAAAAAACAGCCCAATACTTTGCTGCAGAGCACGAAACCGTTGTAGTGGTTGGTGAGGAAATAGACCTCCTGGTTATTGTGATTGGAACCCTGACGTTTCCCAATGTATATTTTTTGAAACCAGGAAAAGGAAAAAATCTTCCATCTATTTACCATTCTCCAAGTGCTGTCGATACATGCCTGGCAGAACATAAATACTAATGCAAACAATTAAAGGGTCAAAAGAATTTCCGAAATTTTTTCGTGATATTTAACAGACTGAAAAATTGTCGTATCGGGAATTAAAAAAAAGCATTTTGAAGTCCTAAGATTCTATTTTTTAGATCTTTTGGTCGAAATTTTTTAGGAGCTACGGTTATCATGCAATTCTAGGAAATAGCACGAGAAAAAAATTTTGCAATTTTTTTTTCTTCAGAGTCCACGGACTTGGAATTTTTTTTCAGTTAAGCCATTGCATGGACCAGATAGCTTGTTTATTCAGCTTCAATTTCATTTTTTTTTTAATTTCGATACAACCATTTTTCATCGAAATCTCGGACTTTTAATGGAAAAGGATTCTTTTGTCTTCAATCATCGATATGCCGGCGCCAAATGGTCGTACAGACAATTTAAGGGCATTTTCGAAAACTGGAATAAATTTCCTATAACAAGTTGCCGCAACTTTTCGGAAAAAATGTTTTTTTTTCATCTTTTACACGAATTTTAAAAAACAGGAAAAAAGTGTAATTTATGGTTTTTTAGAAAATTGACGGCTAAATTAGAAATATTCACGAAATGACTGACGTTATGAATGACTTTTATAGTTCGATATATTTTATTTATTTTATTTTTATTTTATTTTTGGCCAGGCAAAGATACAAATTTGTACATATGGCAAGTCAAGTATACTAAAAAGAAAAGAACAGAACAACATACATCGATAGTGACAATAAAAAGCCACAGTTAGCATCATTTACCACTTATAAAATCCTCCACACTATAAAAACCTCCAACTGACAAAAATTCTTTAGTTTTGTTTTTAAATTTTCTATAATCAAGTATACATCTAATTTCTTTAGGAAGAGCATTGTATAAAATTACACAATTATAATATGAAGATTTTTTAAAAGCACTTGTGTGGTGAGAAGGAATACTCAACAGCTCACCATGTCTGGTCATATAGTTGTGAAAATATGTCCGTTTATTAAAAANAAACGGGCGGTAACTATGAGACGCCTTCATTATAGCCATCCTTCTCTATCGCACGGATTTCTATGACTTACTTTATCGCTCTCACGTAACGACCGATGAACCCTGGGGACTTTCCGAACCTGTATAGTCCAGCCGGTAGAGCATTCGAGGCGTTTGTATTTGAGGTAATATATTTTGTAGTACAGAAAAATCCCAAATATTATGCTAAATTCAGAGGAACAACAAACATACAAAAAGAACGAAATATTACCCGTTTTTCGAAATATTTTTACCTGTAACATTGAAAGTAAGCCCTAAAATGAAAAAAGTCACAGTTGAATGCTGTCGTATTTGGTTAAAAAGCAAGGGGTTACGACGATTCCCTGGGCAATAAATAAATTGTTTATAGAGGAAAATATTGAGAAATTAAAATAGAATTGACATATGTTTTACTATTTTTCACAAAGTTTCATCAATATTTATAAATATTTACTTATTTTAAAAATTGCCTCAAATGTACATATGATTTTCTACTATTTTTCGCCCATGCAAAATT